ATAAATCAGACATTTATACATATAATGTGCTGTCAGACTTTTGATTTTTAACTGTTTGACTGATGTGGTAGCTGGGAAATCAGATGTATTCTTATAGCTTCCGGATGCACAAATCAATTACACACCAATTCAACTGCTTCACTGTGGAAGAAGCATACAGTCAATGACGTCAGCAATCTCTTGCTGTCATGGAAGCCAGCATTGTCACCAAGCACTTCTTTTCTCCCATGCTAAAGTAATCTAAGGAAAGCTACACCAAGAAGCCTTGGGGCTTTGACTAAGCAGCTAAAGTTAATGATTTTGATTTCAGATATTTTAGTGGATTGTTGTTTAAGCTGAAACCTCTATGAGACTTAAAGGGAGACCACGTGTTTAATTCAAACACTATAGCCAGAGCTGATTGAACTCTTCATTATGAATAATAATTGCATAAATTTTTCCCCTTTCAGTTAGCAAATTGTCTGTGGACCAATTCTTATTTTCTAATAACCCCATTCACTTTTTCGAAGTACTTATAGGTAAGTCTGCGTAAAGTTGTGACCCATCCTCTGCAAATTAAGTCACATGTTTCCGCTCCCTGAAAGGGGGTTAATCCTGCAAGGGGCTGAGTGTGCTCACCACTCACTGAGCTCAGCAAAAGTTGCGGGTGCACCGCAGCTCACAAAAGTACTCAGGATCCTGCAGGAACAAACCCCAGATGAATGACATTTTTTAAACAAGAGCCTAAAAAATAGGGGAGGGGGAAATCACATTTCAGGGTGAATTGTTGGACAAATAATAATTTATATTACAGTTTGTGAAACTTTTCTAAATACCCAGTGATTTGTCCAATTCTCTATAAATACAGCATATGACCCCATGACTCATAGCAAACCAAGCTATTCACAACAATACTCTCAGATTTACTATTCAACCTGCTATGTGCATACAGCAGTGTGTTGAATTGTTAAAACTGGGCCAAAGGTGGGATTACAGAGCTAAGAGAGTGTGGATTGCTAAAAGAAGAGATTGTTGAACTAAATATTTGGAAGAATTAAGGCTATTGGGAGAGAACTGTAGGCAGAGGGAGATAAAATAATTTAATACTGAATATTTGGCAGACTCCTTAAAACATGTTTATAATGCAGATGGGAACGTGGGTCTGATCCATTCACTGAGCAAGCCACTTGCTTCCTATTATAGCAAATAAGGCACATTGTCAAAGGGCTTTTGCTTATGATGACTTGGTCAATATTACACAGTGAAAGAGACCTCATAGCAAACCTAAGTGTATGAAAATTGTTAATGAACTTGGTTAGAAGGGGAATAGTTTATAAATTATTCTATAATATGCTGCTTTGGAGGTTTTGTGTTTGTTTTTCTCCTCTGTTCTGATTTCTATGGGATTCTTTGCCCTTCTCCTCCTGATATGGATTTTGATCTCTTCCTCCTTCTGTGTTTTCTGATTTTGTATTTCCTTTTCTTCATTTTGTACCTAATCGGCATTTTATTATTAATCATGTTTATTACAGTAGTGTCTAAGGGTCAACCAAGAATTGTGCTAGGCACTGCATGGACACATAGCAGTAGACAGTCTCTATCTTCCATCCTTCAATCTACATCCCCTTTCCACCTAGTCTTTGCCCTCACTTGCCCTCTCCTTTATCTATTCATCCACATTCTTTCACCAGTTACTTGTTCCCCTCGCCCCATCATCGTCCTGGGAAATAGCCCACTGTCTGCCTTTGAATTCTGAAAGGTAAGATGCCTTCTATACCCATGGACATGTGGAGAAAAGCATTCCCAATTGCCAATCGTGGGAGACTCAGACGCTGTAGTAGATATGACTGTGAACTAACAGGACCAAGTGAACCCCAGTCTTGATGCAGTTTGCAAAAAGGGAAAAGGCTACATTAAAAAAAAATCTTGGTGTTCTGAACCATCTGGCCACCCTACTCAAGCAGGCTGGAAAGAAGGGAGCAGCCCATTGGAGAGTCAGCTTTGCAACTCTATGATGGGGCAGAGACAAGCCACCTACCCTCAACTAGGTGCAGTTTGTGTCCATTGTGCTAGCACAGTTGACTCAAGCCGTAGGTCTCTAAATAGGGATATTTCAGTCATTGGGGACAACTCAAGCTCAGGGTAGGACATAAGAATAAATATAAACCTTGCGGATTGAGAATTAAGAGGCTCATTTGGGGGAACCATACTCACTGATGCAGGCCCCAGAGAAACCCTTGAGCACAGTTCTGTGGGACCATGAGCACTACTAGCCACACAGGAGATGCAGAAGGGCCTACTGAGACCGCCAGACAGCACCAGGAAAACAGAAACCGCATCAAGCTCAGGCCTGATTTTGTTTGCCCTCTAAGAAAGAGATGGGTATGAAGAGACACCTGTGGTCCTAGAGTTGAGGAACCCCAAGAAGTCAGGTTCCCCTTGTACCTCTCTGTTGAACAATCACCCAGTAGAACTTCCTAGGGACTATATCTTCCATATTTTTTTCCAGTAAAGTGTAATATATCAAGTCTATGGGATGAACAGCCTTTCTTCCTGCAAGCCCTAGTAAAGATCATCTTTATTAGTAGACATGTGAGTGTGACTATTAGGAACCCTCCTAAAACAGGACCCTATTAGGGCTAGCATTTGAAGTGCCTTCAGCACTTACCTCAGAGCCTCTTGTACACCTGGCATGATACCAAGTATCTAAAAGGATTTGGTGTGCTACAACACTTACAGCACTTTACGGGGGTTGATTTCAGCTTCTTGTCTCCTATACCAATGGAGTCAGCTCTCTTGTTTGCTGCTACAGCTCTGCAGCGAAAGCAGAAATCAGTGCCAGGGATTCAGTGGCAGATGCAGGAGCAGTATTTTCTTTCTAAAAACACAATTTTATAATGTTTTTGATAAATACAGGAAGGATTTTGGAAAAACATACTAAAGTTCTTGAAGCTGGAAGAGGCTAGGAATTTTGAACAACAAAAATTAAGCAGTGGTCCCTTAGGAGTTATTTTCTGTTCTTCTTCCAAGCTGGTAATAAGGAGAGTGGAATGGGGGGTTGAATAACCATTGTCTCCATGGACTACAGCAAGTGAGTCTGGATGTGTGCATGTGTGGTGATTAGATGTTGGATTTGATTGCTAGCATGGTGAAGGAGAGCCATTTTTTCAAGAACTTTAATGTGAACAAGACTGTCATGAGAGAGATTGTTCTTCAGCTACTTGTGGTGATCAGAAATTACAACTGAAAATAGCCAGGAAAAGCTTTAAAGGTAATACGTTCAACCAAATCAATCAAATCTCTGTTTCGCATAAAGAATCTATTGGACAACTCTTTATTTGAGTTTCTTTTATAGTTTAACACCTTCTAAATGAGGATGAACGCCAATGACAGGTTGGAAGGAATGTGGTTCAAATATAAACAAAAGTGAGAAGCTGATTCTATGTGTAGTACAATTATCATCATCTTTGTTTATGTCTAACTTGTTATTTGTGAAGCATCTTTCCTCAGACATGTCAAATGCTTTCGCTGAGGTCTAAGTTCAAATCAAGTGTGAGTAAAGAACTAACCTGCTTTGAGTTATCTGAGCACAAAAAGGCAACGTATTTTTTTAAAAGGGACTCTTCTTCCAAGTTTGCACAAATCAAAAATAGGTCAACTGACTTTGCTAAAACTTTATTTAAAAAAAAATTATGTTGTGGCTGAGGGAAAGCAAGAGAAAAAAATCAATAAGAATAGTAATAGTCAATGTCTTATATTTATATAGAATCATTCATTCTGCAGGATCCCAAATTTTAACAGCACACAATGCAACACTATACAACAATTTAGGGACCTGATTCAGGAAAGCACTTAAGCATGTGCTTAACTCAATTGAGTTCAATAGGCCTTAAGCACATGTTTAAAGTTAAGTAGTACATATTTCAGTGAATTTCTGAATCAGGTTCTAGAACAGGAAGTGAAGAGTACCTTATCCAGTTTAAAATGTAGCATTTTACCCACACTAGAATGTGGACTGGACACCAAGGATACGCTCCTAGAGCCCAATCTGCATGTGCCATACACAGTTAAGCTGCAACAGGAAGTTTAAGGTTGCCATGTATCCTGCAGGACAGGACTTGGTGACTCTCAGGATGTTTCTTGCACTGGAGCTGGAAGATGTAATTTCTGGCTCAAGTAGACAAAGTCCTGCTAGCTCTGATCAGGCTAGTGCTTTAATCAGGCTAGCTCTGATCAGGCAGTGCATCTGGACAGCATGAGTGACAGGAGGGGCTAGCTGCCTGCATGCATACCTAGGGTTTCAGACAGGACAGTATTTGGAATGGCTAGCCCCTCCCACTGCTTGTACCGCCACAGCCACACTTCTATTTTTAGCGTGCTAGCTCGATCAAAGCTGGCACAGGTATGTCTACCCAAGCTGCAACCAGTTCCAGTGTAGACATACCATCAGACTCACACCACCAAATGCTGGACCAATTGTAGAGTCTGAGGCCAAGAACACAGCCAGGCTAGGTTACAGCAGCATCAGTACCTCACTCATCACTGAAATACTGTAATACATGAAAAAGCCTTATTCACATGATCACTCCTTCCTCACATGAGGAGTCAGACTGAAATCTACTATTACTCATATGAGTAAGAGTTTGTAGGATTGTGTCATAAAAGAGCTATGGAATACTGCTAAATTAACAGCAGTGTATGGGGAACAGAATTGGAATGGAAATTTAGTTTATTTGGCTGATTTTAGGTTCTTATTGTTTCTGGATGGGGCAGGTAACCTTCCGAAAGACCTCCACTAGTACAAAATCTACTGACATTTTAGCCCAAGAAGAAACACCTTGAGACAGTTCTGAGGGAATTAAAATAGGGATCTATGCTCCGCTCCTGAAAAGATTTAAGCACCTGTGTTTTCTGACTGACATGAGTGGTCTCACTGATTTGAAACTTGTTTGCATGATTTCAGGAATGACATCAATGGGACTACTCACATGAGTAAAATTATGGATGTACTTTAATCTTTGCAGGATTGGAATCGTGGAATGGAATACTCATACTTACTCTTGCAGAGGACAAAAGGAATTGGAAAGGTACTCGTACCTATTTTGGTACATTGCTAATTGCATTTTTAAGGGACAGGCATAATTTTTTTCTCCCTCTTTCTTTGGGCTCATTCAAACATGTTTACGCTTCTGCATGAATTAAAAAAAAACAAACTTTGCAATTCATCTTAAACAATTTGGACCAAAATCATCCTATTGATTTCAGTGCAGTCACTACACTGGAGATAAATGTAGTCCTTCACTTAAAAAATAAATCAACAAAATGCATTTTCACTTCTACCTAAATGGAAGAATGATACATGCTAGCTCACTGTTGTAGTTAGGATATTCCTTTTGACACAGTGGAGAAGAGAGTTACCAAAATACATAATCAATGCACCACATATGTTTTCCACTTTCATGGTATTTGGAAGAGAATACATCAAAGCTGCTCAGTTTTGCCTGGTCTTAAACCAGTTTTGTTCTGGAGTCTCAGCCCCTGTTTTTAGAGGACCTGCTCCTTTCTCAAGTTGACATGCACCTAGCTACACTACCTAGCTGTGTTGTGGGATGCCAAAGACAGGGCAATACTTCACATAATTTCCATGTCATTCACACAAGTTTTGGAACACAATGTGCAAATCAGGATTGTGTGACTCATTCCCTGATAGCGAGATAGTTCCCTTAGTCTTCACTTCAGCCAGCCAGGCCCAAGTTGTCAAATGTGAAACTTGTGCCGAATAGAGAAAGCCCTGTGGGTACAGCAAGTACAATCTTGCTTAATTCTTATCTTTAAAAAATAGACAAGAAATGATATGATCTCTCCTCCCCCTCAGCAGCCCAATTACACAATATTCTAAGTTATAAAAATGGGCTCTTGCCCAGGTCCATGTCTGAGGGATCCCCAGATTTCCTCTTCAGTGTGGTACCTTTGCTCCTTTGATGTCTCCTATCCTCCCAGTCACTGTCAGGGCTGAGTAGATCTAGAATTTGTTAGGATAGTTTGAGGTATTTAAAACTTATTAGTTGCTAGAGAGATGGAGGGGGAAAATACAGAAACAGACATGGTTAAAGAAAACAACAGAGGCAGAAACAGACGGTGATCCTGCTCATTGCATCACGTGTGCACTGTTGCATGCCATTGCTTTTTTTAGTGACACTAAGGCAAATGAGGAGTCAGCAGTGGAAGGAAGGTTGTTTAGTTTGTTTGATTCACATGGGCACAATAGAGGAAATCCAGCATTTCCAGTCAGAGAGGAAGGTCAGCTTGGAGAAGAGTGACCTACTATTTTGCAAGCTAGAGTTTATACACAGTTTTATTCAGCCCTGAAAACTCTGGCTCTCTTCAAAAACAGGCAGATTATATGAATGGCTTCAGCCCCAAATAATAACACTACATTTTTATTTTTATGGCCCTCCAAACCCAGAGGAAGGGTTGGTTCAAGGGAATTTCAGTGTCTGACCTTTCTTCACTCCTCTTGCCCCAGACAATGGCTGTGTGTGTTTTTGCAGAGAAATAAAGGAGTCGTTGATGGTGGTTTCCTACTAAAGAGGAGAAAAGAGGAACAGATGACAGAAGGACTGAAGCTGGTTGAAATTTTTCTGTCAAAACATTTTTTTCACTGAAAAACAGCCTTTTTTAAAAAAAATGAAAATGTTAGTTTGTCTCTAATATTTCCAGTTTTTCAATTAAAAAAATCAAAAATGGAAATACAGAAACCACCAAACCCAGAAAATGTTTTAACTTTCGTAAACCAAAACTGAAATGTTTATGGGTTTTGGTTGTTTCAGGTTTTTGAACCTTAGAAGTTTGAGGTTTTTTCCCATCAAAAATCAGATAGAATAAGAAGTTTCAGAAAAGGTTTCCCCCCCCCATTTCTTTTTTAAGTTTTCCACAGCAAAAACGTACCATTTTCTACCAGCTTTGTGCCCTCAGAGTTGCTGTGCCCTCACAGAGCCCTCAGAGCTCAAGGTACAGTGGATAAGCAGTAAAGAGTAAAGACACTGCTGTTTCAGCCTATCCCTCTTGGGATGGCGTCTGTGTGGGCGTGTCGTAGGCATGCTCTGGGAAAAGATTTGGCACTGTTCTATGAGCCAGTCCTGTCCAAAGTCACCTGAGCACCTTGTGACCACCTCTCCCTCAAAATATCTTACTAGGCAAGTGTTCCAATAATAAACCAGATCCAACATACATATTCACCAACAACCCACCACATTAGCAATAATAAATGAATCCTCACAAGCAAATACAAACTGACTAGGAAACCAAATGTTTTTCCCAGAAGGGTGTCACTGATGACCGTGTATATGGCTTTTCTTTAGGGAGCTGGCTATCTGCAGTGTGGACAAGAATGTCTTGACCACAGCTGCTGAGGCAGAAAAGCCATTTGTACAGTCACTTTTCAGAACCACACTTCAAGGTTGCCCAGAGAACCTTGATTTTTGAAAGCCTTGGTTTTTGAGTTCTTAAACTGTTAACTTTCACATTATATTAACATGGATTCATGTATTTAATTAGATTATAATTAGGGATAGATCTGAACCAAAACCTAAATGTGTGTGGGATGTGAGGACTTGGAACCAAGCTACAAAAATAAGATCTGGAGTCAGACTTCATCTATTATTTTAAACAGTGTAACATTCTTATTGTGGGGTTCAACGTTCATTGTAGCTCAGTAATCCATACCTACTGTGTTCAGCTTTCTAATAAAAAAAATTGGCCCAAATTTTCAGAAGTGGCTAATGACTTTGGGTGTTTCAGTTTCTGGGCGCTCAATAAGAAACACCCAAAATGATGAGTTACTTATAATGTAGGCTGTTTTTTCTGTCAGCTCTGTGCATTCAACCCATGTTCTGCAACTCTACTGGAATGGGTTCTTAGGCCATTTTATGCTTTCAGCGACACCTGTGCAAACCCACTGCCTTCAGGAGGTTTGTACAAGTGTAACAAGCTAGAACTTTGTTCAACAACATAGAACTAACTGGACTTTAGAATAACAGTTCTGCTGCTGATAATCAAGGACAATTTCAATGGCAGTTACTTGAATCCTGGGGGATGGGAAGAATAGGGCCCTGTTCTCTTTCTCAGTTGTATTGGCTCAGCAGGAATAACAGGTGTGAAAATAGTAGATATCAGATTGGATTCTGATTAATATACATTGGGAGTGGGCTCTGCTGAGTATGAAGAGGCTATTTTTCCATAGCTCTTTTTCAGAGTAGAACTGCACTTACACTGTCTATTAATACGTGTATTTATTAGAATTACTATTACTGCAAAATATGTGTAACGTGGGTGAACTGAAGTTATTAGAAGAACCTTAACACTAGCAGCTCTTGACTTTTGAGCATTTTCAGCTATAAATTTAAGGTAACATTAGCTACAATTTTGAATTTGTTTCCTCATTTTGTGTGTTTTTTAAGAAAAAAGAGGAAGGTGACAGTTGATAAAAAGCCCAGTCTCGTGGATTTCCTGGTGCACTTCCACAGGTGAAAGTTCATAATCTTTGGGACTTTGCAGTGAATTCAGTATGGTGACCAGATGTCCCGATTTATAGGGACAGTCCCGATATTTGGGGCTTTGTCTTATAGGGGCCTATTACTCCCCACCCCCATCCCGATTTTTCATACTTGCTATCTGGTCACCCTAGAATCTAGTCTGTATTATCTTACATACACACCCCAACCACATTCCCCCTCTCCCTACACAAAGGTAGAAAAGTGGAGATTATTCCTCCTGTGCAGTAACTCTTCAAGTAATTCTTCAGGATGAGTGTCCCTGTGGGTGCTCCACTCCAGATGTTGGTGTGTCCCTGTGCCTTCACTCGGAGATTTTTACAGCAGTACTCACACAGGCTGCACACGATGGTGCCTCAATAACGCACGCACAGCCCGGGCTCCTCAGTTCCTTCTCTACAACGGAGACCACTCCAAACTCTGAAGTAGAGGAGAGGAGGGTGGGTAGTGGAGCACCCACAGGAACACTCATCTCGAACAACGTCAGGTGAGTAACCTCCTCTATGAGAGAGAGAGATGTCCCTGTGGGTGCTCAACTCCAAGAGACTGAAAAGCAGCATCTCTTGAGGAGGTAGGGACTTTGGATCTAGTAAGAAAGCTGTAGACAGCACAGCTTGGCCCATTTGAGGGTCCCTGAGTAAGAGCATAATGTTTAGCAAAGGTATGACCCGAAGCCCAGGTGGCAGCTTTGCACATATCTGTGAGGGGAATGTTACATAAGAATGCCACCAACATTGACACAGGTCTGGTGGAGTGTGCCCTAACAGAAGTTGAAGGATTCATATTATTTAGTTGGTAGCATAGGTGGATGCAGGCTGCTATCCAACTGGATAGTCTCTGGGTAGAGATCGATTTGCCTCGGGATCGTTCTGCAATGAAATGAAAAGTTTAGGGGAAGCCCTAAATGGCTTAGTCCTGTCCAAATAAACACGCTGAGTGTTTACATTGCTGCTTCGAAATTGTTTACATTGCTGCTTCGAAATTGTTTGCATGCAGTTTAGGAAAGAAGGTTGGTAGATGGATAGGTTCATTGAGGTGGAAGGATGAATGCACCTTCAGGAGAAATTTGGAATGTGTTCAGAGTGTGACTTTGTCCTTAAAAAGCATAGTGTATGGTGGGTCAGCCATAAGCGCTCCAAGTTCTCCTATACATCTGGCAGATGTAATGGCAACTAAAAACATAGTTTTCATGGATAGATGTTGGAGGCAGCATGTTGCTAGCAGCTCAAATGGTTGGTGCATCATGTGAGGACCAAGTGCAAGTCTCAGGGTTGAGTGGGTGGTCCAGGTGTAGGGTCTGGAGGCCCTTGAGGAACCGCTTTGTGATGGGGTTGACAAAGATAGTAGTGTCTCGGTCTTATAGTGAAACACCGTAATTGCTTCTAGATGTACCTTTATGGAGCTAAAGGAGAGCCCAGATAGTCTAGTAGTAGTGAAAGAGGCTCAGAAGCAGGAATGGTTTGCCTGGCGGAGCACCAGTGAATGAACCTAGGCCACTTATGGACATAGCATAACACAATCCACATGTACCACCTATGTGACAGTACTCTTTGTACCTGTTCAGAGCAATCTAGTTCCTCATTAGAGAACCATTAAGGAGCCATGCTTTGAGGTGCAGCATCATTATTTTGGGGTGGTGTAGTTGACCCCTGTGTTGTGAATATAGGTTTGGAAGGGGCAGGAAATGGAATCGGGGAGCAAACTGACATCCTTGTTACAAATGGGTACCATGCCTGCCTGGGCCATGTAGGGGCTATTAGTATGACCCTGGCCCTCTCCACTTGTATTTTTTGTAATGCCCTGTGAAGAAGCGATATCAGGAGAAATGCGTATAGTAAATTGTCACTCCATTTGATCATGAAAGCATCTCACATCGAGTGCTTTCCTAAGCCCGCTCTGGAACAGAATTCTGGGCATTTCTTGGTGGTCGTGGTTGCAAAAAGATCCAGTTGTGGGTAGCCCCATATTTTGAATATGTTGTGTAGGATTGTATCATTTATCTCCCATTCATGATCTAGGGGGAAAGATCTGCTGAGGTCATCTGCAGTGGTGTTTAGTGAACCAGGTAGGTAGGAGGCTGAAATTTGATATTGTGTTGGAGGCACCAATTCCAAAGTTTCATAGCCGCCATGCAGAGTGAGTGGGATTGAGCTCACCCTTGTCCGTTTATATAAAACATGCAGTTGGTGTTGTTGGTCATGATCCTGAGGTGTTGGTTCTGGATATGTGGGAGAAATTGGTGGCAGGCATTGTGGATTGCTCAGAGCTCTCATAGCTTTATGAGTGTAGTGAAGCTTCTGTAGGGGACCAGAGTCCTTGAGTGGTGTGGTGTGCCATATGTGCCCCCCAATCCATGAGGGGAGCATCTGTGGTAATTATAACAGAGGGGGACTCCTGCATGAACGGGATTCCGGAGCAGAGGTTGTGTGGAAGAGTCCACTGTGTGAGTGAGTCCTTGACTTTGGTAGGTATGGATAGAAGTTTGTTTAGACCATGCACATTTGGTCTGTAGATGGTGGTCATCCAACCCTGCAGGCACCACAAGTAAAGGCATGCATTCTTGACCACAAAAGTGCAAGAGGCCACATGGCCGAGAAGTTGCAGACAGTCGTGGACAGTGACCTGGGGGCTTCTTTTGCAACTTGGCGACAAGATTCTTTATGGTGTTGAATCTGTCAAATGGGAGAAATGTAAGTCTGGTTATGGAATCAAGGTGAGCGCTTATGAACTCCAGTTGTTGAGTAGGGGTTAATGTGGATTTTTTTTGTTTATTATTTGTAGGCCAAGCCCTGGAAGCAGTCAATGGTCATTTCTGTGGCTTGGATGGCCTCATCGAGAGTGTGCGACTTGAGCAGGCAATCATCCAGGTAAGGAAAAATTATTACTTCTTTTTTCTAGCGGTGCACCATTGCCACCATGAGAATTGTGAAGAAGACGCAGGGTGCTGTTCAAAGGCCACAGGGCAGAACCCTGTATTGGTAGTGATTTGAGCCCATAACAAATCTGAGAAAAATGCCTGTGGGCAGGGTGTATAGTTACATGCAAATAAGCATCCTGCAGGTTGAGGGCTGAAAACCAGTCTCCCTGCTCCAGAGCTGGAATTATGGTTGTGAGGGTAACCATTTTGAATTTTTGCTTTTTGACAAACTTGTTGAGTAGCCTGAGGTTGAGAATGGGTCGCCATCCCACACTTTTCTTTTCTGTCAAAAAATAGTGGGAGTAAAACCCCTTTCCTCTGTGCTGATTGGGCACTGTCTCCACTGCTCCTATTTGTAGAAGATGTTGCACCTCTTGGTGGAGCAAGTGGTCGTGAGAGAGGTCCCTGAAGAGGGACCGGGTGGGGGAGGGTATGGACAGGAAGTTGATGGAATAGCCCAGTCAGATGACCTCAAGGGACCATCTGCCCATAGTGATTGCTCACCAGTTGTGGTAGAATGGGAGCAAACAGTGATCAAAAGGTTGGATGGGAAGTATAAACGCTGGAGTGGGTGGGAGGTCTTCTATACCCTCAACCAAGGCTTCAGATCTGCTTATTAGGTGGAGGGGGTTGAGACGGTGCCAATGGTGTGAGGTGTCATCGTTGATGCCTAGATCTCTGGCGTTGCTGCTGATGGTCGTACGGCCTCTGTTGTTGTTGTGTGTAAGCTGGGTATCATGGGTATTGGTAAGGCTGATACCTGTATTGCCTTCTTTTAGTATGGATGTCTAGGGATCTCAGCGTCACTTGGAATCCTTCCTGATGTGCAGCACCTCGTTGGTTTTCTCTGCAGATAACTTCTTTTCATCGACGGGGAGATCCTCCATGGTATTTTGTATCTTGCATGGGAAAGAAGAAGAGGTAAACCATGAAGCTTGACGCATAACAACGGCCATCATGGTGGACCTGGCAGCTGTGTCTGCAGCATCAAGGGCAGCCAGCAGTGCCATGAAGGAAATAATCTGCCCTTCAGAGACTACTGCTCTGAATTGTTGTCTCTTGTCTTCTGTAATGTCATTAATAAAGTCCATGAGTTTCCCACAATTCCTGTGGTCCTGTTTGGCTAGTAGGACTGCATAGTTTGTCACCCTGAATTGCAGCGTAGATGATGCATAAACTTTGTGGCTGAGCAAGTCCATTCTTTTACTGTCCTTATCAGAGGGAGTGGACCGGAAATGTTGCTGTTTGTTCCTTTGGTTGGCTGCTTCTACTATCAGTGAATCTGGTGCTGGATGCGTGAAAAGGAACTCAGAGCCCCTGGAGGGGACATAGTATTTCTGGTCTGCCCTTTTGTAGGTAGGGGGTGTGGTGGTTGGGGTTTGCCAGATATTCTTGACAGGGTCCAAAATAGCTCCATTAATAGGTAGGGCCATCTTGGAGGAGGTTGAAGGGTGTAATATGTCGGTCATCTCACGCTGAGACTCCGACACCTCCTCCGGAGTGATCTTGAGCTCATTAGCCACTCTTTTGAAGAGCTCCTGAAAATGAGTAAAATCATCTGCTGCTGTTGGGGGTGGGGGCATAATAGTCTCATCTGGTAAGGAGGATGAATTATTATTATTTGGAGAGGTATCAGGTGCCTCCTCTTCTCTTCCAAAAACTATCATGCAAACCCCATTTTTAATTTCTCTCTTCATATGATAAGGAAAACAAATCATCCCCATTCATTTTAGGACCATGTAGCTCTGACCCTACAGTGCATTCTGGATATTCTAGGTAGCAAGTGCATAGGGATTATTTCTTCAGTCAGATATTATGGCAGCTTCCAACATGTTTAGTTTGTTGAATATCCTAGAGCAGCTACTAAACAGTGCACAGAACTATACACTCAACTCAACAATACAGCTGGGTTGTGGCAAAGCCTCATCTCTGATGCAATCCTTTTAAGTGCAGCAATCATTGCTCTGATGGGAAATGAAGGACTCAAGCCTCTGACTGAGAGCAGGTTTATACCATCACTTATGTCACTCTAATTTACCTCACTCAGGCGTGTGAAAAAGCCACTCCCTGATCGACACAAGTTACAGCAACCTAAGTGCTGTCCATGCCAACGCTATGTTGGTGGGAGACGCTCTCCAGCTAACAAAGCTTCTGCCTCTCGCAGAGGTGGAGTAATTCTGCTGATGGGAGAGCTCTTTCCTATCGGCATACAGTGTCTTCACCAGACACACAGTGGAGGTGCACCTGCACAGATGCAGCGCTTCTAGTGCAGACTAACCCTGTGGCATCATTCATGTCTCTATGCTTGCTGATCAAAGCACTGCATCAGTTACTGGTGGTGAATTAGTGAAATGAGCTTTCTTTACCTGTGGTTTGGAGGGAGTAAGTGGGACCTGATTATTAAGGATTTCCATTCATTACATCTGTTGGATTGCATGCGTTACTCAACCTGCTAGAGAATTACATTGACCAACAATAACATCCCTAGGCACAGAGTCAAAGAAATGAAAGATTAGCCAATGATAAGTTTCACTCCTGATGAATCTGTCAGTGCAATTAACAAAGCACAAAAGAGAAGCTTAGAGAAGGATATGGGGGAAGACAGCCTCGCTTTAACATATGGGGATATTTTTTTCCAAATAAATAGAAGGCCCAAGACATTCTTGTTAGAAACATGAGAGATAATGCTGGCTTCCTACCACCCCTTACAGAGGGGAGAGTAGAATGTGCTGCTGTTATATATAAATATTTTTTAATTAAAATCTTTTTGTCCACAAAACAGGATCAGCAATACAGCAAACATCCCACACAGAGCCCTGCTGACATGCTTTATGCCTATCTTGAAATGACCATGTCTATGAGACAGAGATTAGGTCAATCTCCATGCTCATTCAGTCCACTACCTCTGATAAGACTACAAGTAAGAGTGCAATCCATGCTCACTTGGGTCCTCTGATGTTGTCCTCAACTCCACTTATTGCTCTGTCTTCCCTGGCATTCAGAAACTGGATCGCCTTAGACAGTTCCAAGCTCTGAAACTTTCATAATGGGTGTTGTACACACACTTCTTGTTCTCAGCTCCTGCAGAGGAAACATTTAGTTTGATAACACTCCTTCAGCAGCCAACCAGTGCAAGCATTAGCCTTACCCTCTGTGGGCTAAATTCAGAAACAGAACTGAAGAAGGGCTCTGTGGAGCCTAAAAGCTTGTCTCTTTCACCAACAGAAGTTTGTCTGATAAAAGCTATTACCTCACCCACCTTGTCTCTCTCATATCCTGGAACCAACATGGCTACAACAACACTGCAAACAATAAAAAAGGTTAATTGTGACCAGATACTTAACACAATTAATATTAACAACAAGGGGAGGGGTGGGGGAAAGGAATGCAAGCCAAAATAGGGAAAGAACAGAATAGGGAAAAGAATATTTAAAAGATATGTTTGATGTATTCCAGTCAACTGGGCCTGATGAAATTCATCCGAGCGAACTTAAGGAATCTGGGATCTATTAACCATTATCTTTGAATTGGGTGCACAACTAGTTGAAAGATTGTACTCAACAAGTAGTTATCAATGGTTCATTGTCAAACTGGGAGGGCATATCTACTGGGGTCACGCAGGGGCCAATCCTGGATCTGGTACTATTCAATATTTTCATTAATGACTTGGAAAATGGAGTAGAGAGTATGCTTATAAAATTTGTGGATGGAACCAAGCTGGGAGGGGTTGCAAGTACTTTGGAGGACAGGATTAGAACTCAAAATGTTCTTGACAAATTAAAGTATTGGTCTTAAATCAACAAGATGAAATTCAATAAAGACAAGTGAAAAGTACTTCACTTAGGAAGGAAAAAATCAAATGGACAACGTCAGACTGGGGAATAACTATCTTGATGATAGTACTGCTGAAGAGGATCTGGAGATTATAGTGGATCACAAATTGAATATGAGCCAATGTGATGCAGTTGCAAAGAAGGCTAATAATTCCTTCTGTCTTTAATCTCTATGAATCATTCTGGACTGTATTAACCGCAGTGTCATATGTAAGACATGAAAGGTAGTTGTCCCGCTCTACTCAGCACTGGTGAGGTCTCCGCTGGAGTACTATATCCAGTTCTGGGCACCACACTTCAGGAAAGATGTAGACAAACTGGAGAGAGTCTAGAGGAGAGCAACAAAAATGATAAAAAGTCTGGCCGATGAGGAAAGGTTAAAAATGCAGGATATGTGTAGTCATAGAAAAGAAGACTGAGGGGGTATCTGATATGTTAAAGGGCTGTTACAAAGAGGACAGTGATCAATTGTTCTCCATGTTCACTGAAGGGAAAACAAGAAGTAATGGGCTTAATCTGCAGCAGGGAGGTTTGGGATAGATATTAGGAAAAATTTCCTACATATAAGTATAGTTAAATTCTGGGATAGGCTTCCAAGGGACGTTGTAGGATCTCTATCATTGGAAGTTTTTAAGAACAGGTTGGACAAACACCTGTCAGGGATGGTCTAGGTTTACTTGGTCCTGCCTCAGCTCAGGAGGCTGGACTTGATGACCTTTCAAGGTCCCTTCCAGCCCTACATTTCTATGATTCTGGGTTTATTATGTGATTAGTGAGGTTTAGTCCAAGTTTCAAAACACAGCTGATCGTGTCTTGCATACAGTGATTTTTGAATGCCATATGTTGTTGGCTACTGGTACAGGATCAAAGAAAATAATTAATGGCAGATTTTAAATTAACTAATTCTTGGGCTACAGTTAATTAGTTTTTTCTCAAGTAGTATTTTTTTTCACATTACTGGATTCATTTTATCCCTTGAGATTTCCATCAAATGTATTCTGTAAAAGCAATTTCTTCTAAATTCATCAGTTCCTGAAAACGGTTGATATCTGAGGAAAATGCATTTAGTCAGTTATTGAATCTTCCACTGAGCAAATGGCTTGGATTTAGTTTGAATGGTGTCAGACCTAGATTAAAAAGTAAAGTCTCCTCACCCATAAACATTTCAAGAGGGCAACATAAATAATTCAATGGAAAATAGAGAAGAACACATACATTTAGGGAGAATTTGTAAAAGGTCTTCTGTGATGATGATGATGAAGAGGAGAAGGAAGAGGAGAAATGCATGCTTCTATTTATTCTCCCAGCTGGCATTGCTGAGATATCTAGGGCCCAATTCTCACCTCACTTAGCATTTTATGCTGATGTGATTCCTTATTTACACTGGAGTAAATATGATCAAAATTGGACTCCTAGAATTAACTGTTCTTCAGAAGCCTCTTTCTGACACTATTATAAACTAAATCAATTGATAGTCCATTGCTAATGTCTAGACTGTTTTTATGAGGAGACCAAATGACACACACACAAAATTGGGGGCCAAATGCAGCTGTGTTGTAAGAAGAGACAACCCCCCGCTCCCCCATGGAAGAGAGTGGAGTTGTGCCCGCTTATGCCAGGGCTGAATGTGGTTATTGTGTACAGTACATGATATTTCCCACTTTATGTCTGTAAAAAGTCACTTACAAATGTGCATACAGTATTACATGAACATTAAGATACTTTATCTTCCCTCTGCCTAACGTTTAGAGATTTACAGTCAGTGCTGCAATGTTTATTTTTTCCCCTTGCAATGCAAGGTCAGTGTGCATATGCTTTCATGCAATCCAGTGCAAAGTCTGGTTCCACTGAAAATATCAAATGTTAATTTGCTCCTTACTTATTAATAGAATCTACACTGACTAAATTCCAGCTAACACTAATTAGACCATTGCAATCTAATTTCCTATACCATAACCCAGTTTTTATATCAGATGTTTGAGAAAGGAACATTTCAAGACTTCTCTGGATGGAGAAAAGACAATCATCTTTCACTCTCTTTAAAGTTCACTGAGAGTGAACACATCTCATTTGGACAAGTCTAAAAACATGAAATGTATCAGCTGCCGCAGTTTCACATCTGGCAATGTTCCTTTCTGAAGGATGTGGGACAGAAAACTGAGTTGACCTTTCAGAAGCAAAAATATAACATTTTCTTGAACAAAAAAAGTGTATATATTTTTAACCTATTGTACTCTAACAATTCAATTACAAGCAATTAC